TTTTTTTTTTTTTTTTTTTTTTTTTTTTTTTTTTTTTTTTTTTTTTTTGTTTCTCCTTTGTTTGGAAACCATTTATGCTCTATTCAAAATTGTACCTTGTAGTTATATTTTGTAAGAAATTAAATTCAAGGATTTGGAACTATACTTTGAAAGATTGTATGATTGTTAAAAATATTGATTCCGTAAAAAATGACCTCAGATTTTAGTATATCCAGATCAGAAACAATGTACTTTTAAATAGTAATTTGGTTACTAAGAATAAAAAAAAGCACTTGTGTTTATTTGGTTTATTTAAAAGGTAAAAATAATATACCCTGGTTTTTCAAAACCTGCTCCTAGTTTTGTGTGTTGAAACAGAATACTATTGAACTATTCATTTTTAGTTTTGGTTTCCAAAGAAGTTGTATGAATAGGAAAGTGTAACGATGTATTGTGAAAAAATATTTGGTTATAAATTTTTTTCTTTTACCTTTCTTAGTTACTGTTATACAGTTAAATATCAAATTACACAAGCCTGCGAAATTGAACTTTTTGAAAAATACAAGAGAAGTTATTGTTGATCTATATGTTATTTGATGCGCTGGTTTCGAAAATGACCCTCATTTTTACCAATCACATCAGGATTTTTTATAAAATCGATATTAATGTTTTTACTAAAATCTTATTTGGAAAGGAATTCTCTCAAGCAATTTTGCATGTACTACCCGGTAACTGTTCTCTTCATTCATTTTGATCTATGTAAAAATTAATCTTGGGAAAGAAAATTGATTTTTGAGCTATCAGCTAACTTTTTATAGGTTAAAATGAATAAAAAATACTGTAACCAGACAGCAGAAGTTACCTCTGGTCGGAAGAAAAGCAATAAGTTCCTTGTGTTCTAACTTTTTACATCAGTTTCTAGAAGAAAATCACCAACATACCATTTTAATTTGTTTTTATTGAGATAACTCACGCAAAATTGACGATTAACCAAGAATAGCAAATATTGTGTATGTGTATATGAAAGTTTGAAACGAAAAACAAAACAAACAAAAAACAAAACAAACAAACAACAAAACAAGCAAAAAACAAAAAAGAAAAGTTTCTATTTAAGTATATGCTCGTTTTTCTCTGAAACTTATTTTTGATGATCTTCTTTTATGCTTAATCTCCGGTTCATCCCGAGCTATCATCCAACAGTAGTCAGCGAACATGTTCTTGTCCCATCTTCCTTGATATTTAAGCTCCGTATCTCTGATATCTTGATGGAACCTTTCCCCTTGTTCTTCGCTGACTGCTCCTAAATTTCCAGGGAAAAAGTCCACAAGTGAGTGACGGAAATGCATTTTTACACTCACGGAGCAACCCAACGTTTTAAATTTGTCCAGCATTTTCGTTACAATTTCCTTATAATCAGGATCCCAGAATTGTAACCATATAATTACCCAGAAATTTACTGACGACATCTTTGAAGGCAACCCAAGCTTCTTTTTCCGTTTCTGTTAGTCTCAAATTCCTTATCCTTCATGAGTTTGCGGATATGGACCAACAAATATTCCTTCTTTCAACTTAGCTTGGGATAAACATGGAAACTTTTTGCACAGGTATTTGAAACAATTGCCATCTTTTGGAACAGCCTTGACAAACTGCTTCACTACACCTAATTTTATATGCAGCGGGGTAACAATACTTTTTTCGGATCAAATAACCTGTTTCGAATAACATTCTTGGTGCTTGGCTCAAGATTTTGTCTTTTCGGCCATTCTTTTCTGACCCAATGTTGAGTCTTGTCACGGCTGTCCCACTCACGAATGAAACATGAGAACTTTATAAATCCCCCTTGTTGACCAAGAAGCATGGAGATAACTTTCAAATCACCTCAAATGGTCCGACTGTGGTCGATATATTTTCTTTTGTTCAGGACGAGAGTCAGGTTTTCGTAGCATTCTTTTAAATATACTGAGTTCTCAACTGGTACTAGCATACTAGCTCCCATGATGAAGAAGAACAGCTTTGAGGCTTCTTTTAGATGAATCTATAAACAGCCTCCACACATCCACTTGTAGATGACATCAAATTTGCTTATCAATCCAGGAGCATCAGAACAATAGATCAAGTTCTCCTCCTCATCAAAGTACTTAATAAATTCCTTTTCACGATTCCTGTACCAATAAAAAGATGTTCCCTTGGCCAATAGGTTTTTTTCTTTCAGTCTGGAGCCTGCCAGCAATCCAGCTGCCTCTTTCGAAAGGCCAAGATCTCTAGTCAGATCATTAAACTCAACCTGAGAGGAGGGCTGAGGTAAACCGGCTGGAGATGGTTTATATTCGATATCGGACCCTTGAACTTCTGGATGTTTCGAGTCTGAAGACTCTGAAGAGATTTGGTAATTCAGTTGAAGGCAAAGGCGCAGGCACATCAGGTCCATGAAGAACGGGGCGTATGGCCGATGGAATACTATCTGGAAAAGATATCAATCCTTGATTTTTCCGGTTATACCCACGAACATGACAGGAGCAAAAATAACAATCATTAAAGTGGTTTGGGGGCTCCCTCCACGTCATAGGAATTCCAAATCGTAAAGCAGTCTTCTTTCCTTGATGCCATAAGCGTAGATCATTGAGACACTGCGCAGAAACTTCATGAGATGCCCAAGATTTGTCCTGATCCAAGAGTTTCATGTCAAAATATGCGAGATAAAGTTGTCTTACATAGTCTGAATTGCTCCTCATGCGATTTTTAACAACACTATATTCTCCGCATGTATAACAAGAGTCACCTGGGAAATTTTCACAATGTCTTGGAACTCAAAGCCATGTTTCACGAAACGCACAGAAAAAAGTAAACTTTAAAATGACTCCCTATTACACTTGCTAGTGTTTCTGAGAGGTCAGCGAACCTAGATAAGGATTCTCGCGACGCTGTTGGTTGAGAGAGATTGTGACAGGAAGTAGTGATAGAGGGGTACTTTTGTAGATTTGACCAAAGTAGAATGCTGGTCAGTCAAGAAGGGAAGAAATTCGAAAACGAAATTTTTTTTATGGTAATTGTTCATAAAAATTCCAGTAAAATAGAATTTTTCTGAAACATGTGACGTGATGGACATTTTTCATTATTATTTTCCATTTCAGCAACAAAAAATACATTAAGTTCAGCTATCAGACCCCCTTGTATTTTTTTCATCGCAGGCCTGTGTTATTAGATAATTAAATTGGTCAGTTTAAATATGATTCACTGAATCCTTCATTGAGCTAGAAAATTATATGCACTAAAATATTTTTTAATACTTAAATTTTAATAATTAAGATTTATTCATTTCAATAAAGTACAGCTTTTAATGACTTTTTTTTTCTATTTTATCGACACAACTAAATAAACTGACAACTGTAACAGAATTAACTATGGATGTTTTTATTTATTTTTTCTCATGGTCTCTAATAAGATGAGTTTAATCAGCCATAAAATAAAATCATAATGCGAAAGGAAAATACTAGACAAAGACATTATATGTGCATCTTGATATGATATTTCAATAAAGTTTATTTACTGTCTGTCCATTGCAAAATGAGCTCTTTTATATGTTTGGCAGAAGATGCCTATCTGCACATTTATGAATCTATAAATATACTTATACTTACACAAGCAGCAGCTTTCACACCTACAGAGAGTGTAATAAACTGTTTTCAGCATGTCTAATGTCTGGGACCCCAGTTTGTGATGGACAGACAGTATTATTTTTATCATTACTTTACACATTGCAACCATTATTATTTATTACGATTGTTATTTTGTATATTAATTTTGCAATTTATTTACATAGAATAAGGTGTTTGTGTATCGAGGGCTAGAATATGAAAGAATAGGAGCATTTACCCAGCGTTTACAAACAGAATTTCCCCAAGCTCAAATTTTGATGAAAAGTACAACCCCTGATGACAGCATTTTAAACTCAGATGGACAATGTATCCTTTTAGTATTTTCAATATCCAAATATTCTCATTGATATTGAATATGTTATATATCTTTTAGATAAACTGCAAATATACTTCATTATGATTTTAGAAAATTTCATCTGCTTTTTTATTGTCATATTTTATGCAAAATTCTGTATCAAATTCCTTTGGGGCTTCTCCAAGGATTTGTTAAAAAGTATTTCAAATTCAATTTAAAAACGATCATAGGTACATAAATTTTTAATGGCATTAACTCTTCATTCAAATTTTTAGCTTTTTTTATGCAAAATTTGCTTATTATGTTAGTTTAAGCCGAATGCTTATAATAATAATCTCTCTCTGACTGGGCCAGTATCGCAGTCAAATTTGCTTAGGTAAAAATTGTGCAGCAGATTGACTCAATAAATTCTCTAAACAGGGTCCTTGATTAATCCAGTTGATAAAAAAAAACTTTATTTATCGGCATTCTGATTAGCATGTTCTGCTGTATTTAGCATGTTAAATCCATGTCGATTATCGGTGATTAACACAGAACTTTCTGGTTAGGTCACGCCAGTCATCAGTGACTGAGAGTACAAACTTAAGACTGACTTTATAAAATGGCATTGCTTAATAATTGCTGAAAATTTGTTTCAAATGTACTTAATCTATATTTATTACAAATCAAAATCAAATATTTATTTTATTTCAATCTGGTAGTAGTATGCTTATCATTGCTTTACCACAATGGGAGCACTCATGGCCTAGTAGGGGTTTAATTAAAAATATGCATGTCATTTAATGTGTGTTAATTAAAAATTAGTATTTTGATTGATAATATCTGTACAGACTTGTCCGAATATATTAACTCCAGAAGTTCTGTTTTATGTTTGTGATTTTTTTTATCAAATGATAAGTATATTGGTTATGGCTAATGATTGTTAAAATGTGTTTAATAGTAGTATAGTAATTGATGAAAATATCATTTCTAAAATAATAAATAAAACAATGTTTGTTTTGTAAACACATTCTGTATTTTAAAAATTTAGTAAATTTTCATTGATTTATTTATACATTCCTATATGAAATAGATATTCAAATTTGTAATGTTAAACCCATACCCAAAACACGTCCTGAATTTGAAAATCGAGATATTCCTGAGAAAATCATCAGCTACTACCTAGTTAATGATGTTTCGTCCTTTCAGTTTGATCGACCAGTACAAAAAGGTCAAATTGATAAAGATAATGAGTTTAAGGTAACATTGCATAAATTTCTATTTTTTACTTTGAATGAGATCTTTTAACTTAATGTTATATGTCGTGAAATTAATTGGAAAGTTGCTAAAAAAAATCTTGCTTTTTTGTTTCAATTAGTAAAAATTTGAAATTTTATGTAAAAAAAAATATCTAAATTAAAAATTATGTAAGATTTAATGAAAAAGAAATATTGTTACAGTTATACTCACTAAAATATTTTCTGAATAGTTTAAACTATTTAATTAATAATTAAGTTTTTAATTTTTCTTGACATTTAAAAAAAACTTTCAGGTAAAACTTAAAATTAAATAAAGCTTTATTATCAAGTGTATGTTCTACCATTGATAAAATGTAATAGATAATAACACTTTAAAATAATTTATGCCAAAAATAATTCATATGAGTTGAAGAGGCAATTGAAAGACTTATTCAATTGAAAAAGACTTATTTAATTGAAAGAATAATTTTCTAAGCCAAACTTTTTTTTAGAGGAAAAAATTTTAAATTTTATTGTTCTTTAGTACTGTTTGCAGCTAGATACTATACAAATTTCTCAAACTTCTTTGAGATAACATTACAAGTTACAGAAACTATTGTATTGTTTTCATGGAAATTGCATTGTTTTTCATGCAAAACTTGAGAACTATTTTTATGCACAATTTGAAAATGTGTCTTATCATTTCAAAGCTTTAAACTGTATTTTGGAGTGTATTTATTTTTAAAATTTTATTTTAAACATTTATTAAATGTGTGATTATTATTTGTTCGAAGAATAAATGCAATATCTTTAATACTACATAAAAAAGATGAATCATTAAAATTATAAGAAATAAAACTACAATATTTTATATGGAATATGTTTCAGTTTAACAACTTCCTTAATAACTTCATGCAAAATTACAAAGTAACTAAATTAAGCAAACTATTTGCATATAATTGTACTATGATTACATTTTGTATGTAATTATAGTATATTTTTAAGAAAATAGTTTTAGTTAAATACATTAATTAAAAAGTGATTGTAGCATATCTGCCAACTCTACTGGATTTTACAAGTTTCTCCTGGTCTACTGCTTTAATTAAAATCCTCATGATTTTTGTTCGTTTTAGAAAATTCCCTAAAATTGAGTAAGTTTCCTAAAAAAATCCCTATTGAAATAGAATTTTTGTACAAATTATTGCTTGCATGCTAGAATATTTAAATAAGTATTACTAACACATCATGAAGCAAGCCTCGTTTATAGAAATCAGTTAAAAACTTTTTTTGTTCTAAAATGTTTATTTTTATTCAGATTATCTTTTATGAATTAAATGCCAAATAATACATGAATTTATGAGTAAACATAATACATAACATTTTAAGCATGTTTAATGTCAATTATAAGTGGAAAATATTGCAGTTTTTCTATTTTGATGACTATAAAAATCCCTAAAATTCCCCGGGTTTAAAATATTTAGTATATTATGCAACAATTATCATGAAATTTATATTATAAAATCTACTGAATTTTTTTATTCATGTTGGCAGCTATGTTTTTGTTAAATTTTAAAAAATGTAGTTTCTTCCGACTACTGATAAATATCTCTGTTTTTTTAAATTTATTTTTCTTTTATATTTATTGCCACTTTAGAGCTTGTGGATAGAACGGACAACGTTAACTATAGCTTCCCAACTCCCTGGAATATTAAGATGGTTTGAAGTTATCAATTGGCATGTGGTGGAACTTTCTCCCATAACACATGCATGTGAGACAGTGGAGCACATGAACAAAGAGCTACGCAAACTTATTGCACAGTACACAGCAGAGCCTCGCCGCTCAATCAGTCCCCTCAGCATGCGTCTTCAGGGTGTCATTGAGGCTGCTGTGAATGGAGGAATAGCAAAATATCAAGAGGCCTTTTTCACTCTTGAGTTCAGCTTACAAAACCCTGAAGAAACTCACAAGATCATCAAGCTTAAGTCTCTCATCCTTGAAAAGGTATTTTTTTTTTGTCATAACTACATAGGCAGTTTTCCCCCCTTGAAATATAAGGCATGGTGCGTAGCGTTTTTATAAAGTGCTTAAAGGTGCTTTTTTTTTCGTTTTTTAAAAGCCCTTAAAGGTGTTAATTTTCCCTTTTTGAAAATGAGATTTTTTTCTCTACCAAGTTGTTTTTAGCCACGTATTATGCAACTCATTCTTTTCACATTGTTCTATTTAGCGTTTTCACAATTCAGTGCTTATTTTTTTTATTGCTCTATTCTACGTTTTTACAATTCATTCAACCGCAATTTATTAATTATTTTAGCGTTCTGTCGGTTCATAGTGTAGAAAAAAATGCCAATTATTTTGCATGTTTGATGAAATACTTGCGAGTACATATGTGCAACTACTAAGCTGGGTTCGGTGAGATTCTTGCACTCTCATTTGCAACTCTGCTGCATTCATTCATTCATTTCCGGCTTCATTTTCCACCTACTGATATCAAACTGAAAAACCTCTTGATTTTTTTTATAATGGCTGATATAGTCAAGAAATTGTCAGACGATTGTCATCATCAGAAGATTGTCAAAGATTGTTCATTGTCAGAAACTGGTCATTTTTATCATGACCATGTAAAATCTTTAAAAAATTATTTTGCATTTTGTTAGTATTTGAGGGACCAGATAGTAATATCATTTCGGTGCATTCGATATTTGTTATCAAGATTTTATTTTTAATCAATAATGTATTTGCCCTCATTAACAAGAACTTTTCAATGCCAGATCGAAATGGATTGAAAAAATGAATTCGTTTTTAAGACTAACAAATATTTAATGCACCAAAACGACATTACTTTTTGGTCCCCCATATATATATAGTGCTTTAAAATATTTTTTGAGTGCTTAATAAGTGCAAAATATGCTTATAAGGTGCTTATTTTTAGTTGAAAGATTTGGCTATGCACCCTGTTCTCACAGATTTCTAGTTATTGATTTTTTTTTACCCTGTAGGCATTTTATCGAAAATGCAAACTTAGTTAGTAAATTAATAAGAAAAAAAAACTTTAAATATGAATAAAAATAAATGTTGATTACCTAACACAAAATTATTAATGATTTGCATACATCATTTATACAGGTACAAATTTTGGAGGGTGGTTTATCACTTCACGGAAGACTTGCGCCACCTGAAGTGATACCTTTACATAGGCGGTTGGTTGACCGTTTCTCTGTGATGAAACAATCGATTAGAGAAGTAGATTCTCCAAGTTTAGCATCCAGATTTACCATTAACCGAAGAGGGGATTTGCCACCCACACCCTCTACAGAAATTCCAGATTACAGAAAGCCTTCTATTGTGAAGTAAGTAAATTCCTACCTCTGTATTTATTTAAAATTTAGTCAATAAATCTTTCTTTCTTCAAAGTCACGCTCATTACTGGCTCAGTAAGCGAGTAGATGACCACTTTAATCATCCAGTGTAGAGACCGAGGGTGTGCGGTATCAATCCTCTAAACTGTTCCACTGTAAAGTAAATACTAACTAAATACTTTAACAAGCTCTCTAGTTTTGGACATCAAAACAGAACAGCAGATTATCTACAAAGGTGGAGCAGCAACCAAAGACTAAAGAAGAATAGCCCATTTAGCCAGGCCGTAGTTAACAACATTCTTGCTGGTAANTGAAACAGTTCCTTGTACTTGCAAATTTTGCCACGAGAAACTGTATTGATGGCGCTGGCATTGAAACACAAATTACTACAAACTGTAGTTTCGTATACTAACGTGTTTGTGCACGCTTAAAATTGGTATTTATTGTGTTGATGAAGTTTTACAGTTGTGAGAAGTCATTTTGTATTATACACCTTTCTTAAACAAAATAACATATAGAAAATATAATATTATTTATATTTTATGAAATGAAATTTAAAAATATAGCTTAGATCTCTGCCAAGTTTGTGCATAAGAAAAGAATCAAAGATGACTCAGAATTCATTGAAAAAAGTTATAAACAGATTTGATCAGCAAACAAGACAATTACAATTCTTGTTTGATTAAACAATTTTTTAATTGTTATGTATCAATAATTACTTAATTATTTGTTTTTGAATAAAAGTATTTTTAATAAACAAATTTTATAACACAATTGTTTTTCTGTATCTCTAATTGCTTAAAAAAAAGGCCAGGGGGGTGCAGCTGCACCTCCTTGCACCCCCCCTGCCGGCGCCCTTGGTAGAGACCGAGGGTGTGCGGTATCAATCCTCATTAAACTGTTCCACTGTAAAGTACAAGTCGCTGGGGTACCCAAACGAAAGAGCCATCCTCTCTGCAGAGGATCAAAATTATGATGGCATTTCTTTGGATCATCCTCAGTGATGTTTCTCAGATAGTCACCAATAACCCATAGTGTTGCTCTAGTGCGACTTAACCTATTATCCTCAGTGGCTGTCCCAATGATTAACATTTTGTTTTGAATTATAACTGAAATAAATTGTTTATTTTAAAAATTTCTACATTTAACAATTGATTATTTTACTTAATATTGGAAATGGTTTATTTCTTTCTGTAATAAGAAAATAGTTTTTTGTCTCTTTTTATCATTAAAAATAATTTTCCTCTTTAAATATTGAAATTATTACCTGTTTCTGCTCTTTAAGGCCTTGACTGTATCAGATTACAACTTTTATATTTTAAGTAATTGAAGCTATTATAACGCATGGTAGTTTTGGATTTTGTAACTCTAATTAAATTTGAGTATAATGGGACACACAAATGCAATTTCTACACATCTTTATGCTTTGACTAAATTTTTCTTGTTTTATGAAAATCATAAGATTGTCTCAAGAAAGTGGTAAAATTTTAATTACTACTAAAGATAATACAGTTTCTAATCATTGCATATCTCTTTAATAAAATGTGATTTTTAAAACTAGAAATAATTTTACTTTAAGTACAAAAAAAAAAATTTGTTGAAGATTTAGGGATAGAAATAATAAGGTCAACACAAATGTTCAAAAGATTTTATAAATAATGTTTATTTTTAAATCTATAAACATTAGCATTGTAGTACATTACCTAAGAATTTTTTTTTACAAAACATTGATTAGTTCATTAACTGAAGTAAGATTCATAGGTCTCAAGTATGTTATTCTAAAATATTTTTTAAGCTCTTTGTGCATGATTAAAATGTGCATGACTGTAAACTATATTCCATTCTTTTTCTCTAATTTCAAATTTTAGTACTCCTCTTCCTCCATTGCCATGTGATTCCACTAAGAAAATGGACCCTTGTGGTAGCAATCGATCATCATCATCAGGTTCCAGTATCTATGGTCACTTCTTTCCTGAAGGTTCAGATGAAGAAGAAATATATACTCACCCACCCGACAAACCGCAAGAAGTTCCTGTCAACATACCTCTGTCACCTCTTTCTTCAGTGTTGCATCCTCCTCCATTACCTAACAGGCCACGCTCTGTGGCTTTGAACTCTCTTGAACCAAAGGTACTATTCTCTTGAACCAACAACATAACCTCAAAAATCCAGACTTATAAAATCGGGAAGCCACAAAAATTGTGACAATTTCTTTTCAAATTTTGATAAGAAAGAAATTATTTTAATCAATTTTAAATTTGAGAATAAATGTGGAAATACACGTGTTGCAATATTAGAGATCATTCATGTTGCAAAAAAGATTATTTATGTTTTTATGTTACAACATAATTTCAGTAACCATGTAGAAATCCGTAACATTAACTGCTGAAAAAGCGATTTGCAAAACTACATGGGTTTACAATGAAGTGATTACTCAATTGTGCTTATAATATTGTACTGTTAAAAACATTGTTTTTAAAAAAAATAATTCTTTATTTTTAAAATTAATTACTTAAATTCGCAAATTCATGTATTTATTGTGTAAAAAAATATCTGGATTTTAAAAACAGCGTGGAAATTTATAGTAATAATTACTGCAAAAACAATTTTCAAAAAACATGCAAAATAGTATACTATATCTATTTTAATCATCAGATGAGATCATGATTGCACATTAAAAATATATATATACAGTACAGGACCCGTTATCCGTAAATCAGAAAACCGGAGCGAAATTCGATAAATTTTCCCGCCGTTTGAAAAAAAAATTTTTTTTTTTTTTCCTCATAAGATTTTAAAATTTTTCTTTCTTATTTGAAAGATGTTTACCTTACCATCATTTTGGAAATAATCATTAGTGTATTACTTCATCGTTGTTTCTTCTTTTTAAGATTATTTCCAAATATTTTTTTTTAGTTGGGTTTAACAATAAAAAAAACGGCTTTTTGCAGCGATTCAGAAAACCAGAAAAATCAGCTATCCGGAATAGGGATGGTCCCAATCGGTTCCCTACTGTATATTGTCGAAATTATTTTATGGATTTCGAAATTTTTCTTTCAAATTCTTATTATTATTAAACTTGTGTTTTTCATTGAATAATTTGAATCTCTATGCATTTTATTGTTTTGTAGTACAATTGCATTAATGTAACTATTATTATTTCAATTTAGTGCTATTATGTAACTATAAATTTAAAATTCTTTTCTTTTTTATTATTATACTAGGTATTTGAAGAGAAATAAATATAATTATTTATGTGTATATAGTTATTTATGTGTATAATTATTTATAATAATTATAATACTGATATAATTATGCTAATAAATTATACTGGCTATAATTATACTGATATAATTATACTATATGATATAATAATACTGATATAATTATTTATGTGTATATGATTTTCATCATAGATATGCAATGACAAATCACGCCCTCAAACCTCTCCCATGAAGGACACTGGGGAAGATTACTCTCATCCCAGGGGTTATCCTTACAATCGATTAATGAGCCCCAACATCCCTTTGAAGTGGTTGAATACTCCTGATGGGATGGGTGACAAATCATTAACTAGTCCAAGCAATAGTCCCAAAGGATCTGAAAGAAACAGCTGGTCTGAACAGAGTCTTCTACCAGAAGAAGCTCCTCCCCTGCCTCCAAGAGGTAGGTAATCTGATTACTCATTTTACAATACAGTGAACAGTCTCTTTTCTGCAATAAAATGGTCATTAATGAAGGTTGGTCATTCTTAAGGGTAACCTCCATTGACTTCAAAATTTTATCGAAGGTATATGATTTTTCGTAAACGATTTTGATTTTTGTTAGAGTAATTTTCTTAGTGTGGAAATGCCACTTGAATTGGCATGGAAACCAGATCGATGAATAAAATATAGCATCAATAAAAATGATCCCTACTAATATAATTATGCATAAAAACAAATTTAGGAATTGTGAATGAGAGATCTATTTTAAATAAATAAAATTTATTTTATGAATAATATATAAGAATTATGTTTTTAGTTTAAGGTTACATTTAATTTTATATCATAAAATTGTGACAGCTCTAAAAGATGAGAAGAGGTTTGTTAGTTTCAGATGCTTAGTTTTTTTTTAAAAATAACTTTCAAATCTAAAATTAGAAAACGTAATTGGAAATGGATTGGTCATGTTTAAAGTAAACCTAAAAAATTTAGATTTAAACAAGTTTTTGATTGGAACCCTAAGAGCTATAGAAAAAGAGAAAGGCCTAAAAGTACTTGGCACAGGGCGATTGTAAAACTAAATGAAGGCAATAGGAAAGACATGGAGAGAGGCAAAATACCTGGCCACAAATAGAGTGAGATGAAAAGCCATGATAGAAGCCCTATGCTTCAATTCAGAGTAAGAAGGGATATGTATGTCAAAGCATTTCATATTATTCTATTTATAAATTATATTGTGTTAAAGTGTAGGGGGTAAAAAATAGTGATATTTGTTTACTAAAATTGTTTATAATTCCTTTAGCATTTTGTACAAGCAAGTTTTTGTACTAGAGCTGGGCTTCAGAAAAACAACAAAATGGATAATCTAGAGTTAATGGTAATATCAGGGGATACCAACCTTTTATTTATGCCAATTTTATGAAGCATAATTTAACAGTTATCAGTAATGATCTGGTTGTTGAAGGTTACTGTGAATCACAGTTTTTGGTACTAAGAGCTAGATCAGCTTAGATTTGTCGATTTTCTTTGCTTGTTAGAAAAAGTTCTGACCTTAGCATATGTTTAGAAACCTTTTTTTAAAGGAAATGTGTTTATTGATTTTGACTTCATTCATTTTAAATTCATAAAAGCAAATAAATAATATAGAAGAAATTGTTTTAAATTTCCTGGCATCAGATATTGTTTGCAATTTTAATTCCAATAATAAAAGCAAAGCTTTAACGGCAGACTTAATTACTTATTTGAGTAAGGGTTTATTTTTATTGTAAATTAGCCAGTATACTTTGTGGGCACAGTTATTAGTTAAGTAAAGATCTTGTTTCCCTTATTAACTTTTTTTTAAATTTATGTTAATTGTATAAAAATAAGCAAACTTTCCCCTGACCTATGTTTGAAAACATCATCAAAATTAAATGTTACATTAATAAATCTTCTAAAATTCAGTGTAAAATGTTACTATTACATACTTAAAATATTTCTTTTTTTGCCATCAGGTAATGAGAAAAGAATGGTTACTTCTTGGACAGGAGTACCCCCTTCTGAGGATTCCAAACCTGCTCTTCCACGTAGACTAACTAAAAAAGTAAAAAAAAATTGATATTGTTTTTGCAATGCATTAGTGTATTTGTTATTCATTTAAAATTTTAGTTTTGCTAGTTTCTTCTGAAAATAATGTAATTATATTAATGCTTCACTAAATGGTCTTTTATAAAATCAAAAGATATTTGTAATCATTAGTACTATTATTGTTGTCATTTTTATCCATGTTTTTAAAAAATATGAATTCTCTCTGTGTTTGCTATTCCTATGCATAATAAAATCTCTTTTAGTCAATCATGTTTGTCGGTGAACTTAGATTCCACAAACTATTTTTATTCCGAAGAATTTAAATTTCCTTCTTGCAGTCAGATATTTAAAAACTTTTCTAGAATAATTTTTAATGAAATATTTCTTGAATCCATAATAAAAAAAGAAATAGCTATATTTAAAGTTAAATTTCCTGATCAGCCATTTATGAAAAAAAAAATTTATGTAAAAGAGATAGTATGTGCATATATCCATCAATACGATTGAAAAGAACTTGCTGATTCATTGATGCTGATATTTATGAGAAGAAGATGACCAGAATTTCAACGAAACATTAATTTGAGATTCAGAAAAGAAAAGAAAAAACGAGGATAGTGATATTGTTTAAAGTAGCTGCTTTTTTAGATAAATGCATGATGTATAATGTTTAAAATGCTGGAAAAAAATTATTGTAACATTAAGTAATTTTTCTTTAATTTTAGAATAATTGCTTATAGTTATTAATTGAAGATTGCTTATTATAATCAATATATATATNATATATATATTGATATATGTTAAGTGAACTTAATTTGCATTACAAGAAGCACTCTTAAATTCTTAAATAAATTTATTCACAAAACCTCCAAAACTGATCAATAAATATATTTTTCAATTAAAGATTTATTTCAAAGTGAATTTCTGGAAATAACAGTAAAAAGAAAAAAAAGTTATTTTCATTACCTTTAAATGTTTGGAGATAAAATAATGAACACATTTTTCCATTGGGTGCATTTCGTTCAACTTTGTTTTACTTACTGGCAAAAAAGTAAAACTTTTCTTTGAAAGAGGAGTGATTGTAAAACATGCATTAACCTGATCATTTTAAATGTCTTTCCAGAGCTCAATGCCTGCAATGGCCAATCAATCCAAAGAATTACAACAGTTCACTATTATGACAGATTCACCTGATTCTCAGTCAACTCCTGTTATTTCAACGCCTAGTCCTATTACAGAATCTGCTCTTCCTCTTTTAAACGAGCCTACACCACCTCCTATTCCCAACAAGAAGTCAGTCGTAGCTGTCGGTAATAGTAACAGCAATCCAACTTCACTTACCACATCACCTAATCAATCACCTGTCAGGACGCCGGAGTCAATGATTAGATCCCAGTCAATACCAACTGGCGTCATGCCTCTAATTCCACAAGAAGGCGGTATTGACCTTGAAGATGAACTCAATGGCGATAGAGACGAGTCCTCCAGTGTCTGATAGACACAAGTTACAAAATTTTAACTTAATCTCCTTGGAAAAAGATCTTGATGCAGTTCAGATCAAGATCTTTAATTTATATGAAATAACTTTTATTTCATGAAAGTACCTATTACTGTGGAACAGATACTTTCAACGCGTTATTTCTGTAAGTACATATTACTGTGGAACAGATACTTTCAAGACAGTTATATATAATCTATACTGTATGAATAGATAACATGATTGCCAATTTGTGTTTTAGAAATTACTTTTTTTCTATCTTAGATACATTGTAAGTAACTGTATTGATCTCTTTAAAATTCACTTGTGAAAAAACAGGTTTTTTTATGCAAAATTTCTAAACTTGTATGTTTAATAATAAAAAATTCAGTGATGAGTAACAGTAGAAATTTGATATTAAAAGGCATTAATGGTTTTACCTTATAGAAATTCTAGTCATGCAGAGTCTTACTTATTAGCATTTGTATGTATACATCATTTAGTTAAATATAAATTTTAATTATGTATATTTTTTCTAAATTTTTACTATGTATATTTTTCTTGGCTGCTTTTGCTCTTATTTGTGGATTCGCTCAATTATGTTCCTTGTATAGATAAATTCTAATTGTTTTTATGTGAAAAACTAGCTATTTTTGTGCTTTGTCTTTGTTTGTCGTTCATTTTTAAAACCATTCATGCCTCTTCGGGTTACTTTTATTAAATTTCATGATCTTTATATATTTTTATATGCATGGAGCAAAAAGACAGCTGAATTTTTCTTTTTTTTTCAAATGGAGCCATATAAAGAGTTTTAATAAATACGTGTTGTTACATTTTTAAATTACTTTTGTTATGTATACACAAAATTGGGTAATATCATTTAGTTTATTTATATACACTTTGTTTGTGATATTAAGATTTTTCTACACATGTAAGCAGTGCTTACTAATAATATGTTTTTATGTATGTTTTAAAGAAATTTTTTTACTTAAAATGCTGGTAAAAACATGCTTTTATTTGATATTTATGTGGATATCACTGAAATGTTTTTTTGAAAAATAGTTTGTTTATTTTTAATGAAGAAAAATTCTTTTTTAAAAAACATGCTATTTTTCAGCAATATCGTAAAATTTTTAAATAATTGAATTTGTTTTATTTTGATGGTGTAGTTTTAACATTTGCATTTTCAAAGCCTAATTTTTTTATTTTTAGAAGTAAAAAATCTATTCTAGACAGTATAATTTTTGAGTTAAGTATTATTTATGGAAAAATGTGTAATTTTTACCTTTATTATTGTTTAACCAAGGATTTTAGCCTAGTTTAAGTAATTAAGTTTTTTTTTTTAAACATAATTTATTATTAAGTAAGATTTTTTTTAAATAAGCAGTTTATTTCCTTAATTTGGAAAATTCTGACTTTTAAAAGATGTCTTAGTTTATATGTATTTATATATAAAAATTAAGATGCATAATATAGTTTACTTTTTATAGAATTTTCTTAACATTAAGATAAAGCATTCTAATGCTCTTATCTCTTTTAAAATTTTGAAAAATTTTACTTTCAGTGTAAAGCTTTTGAGTTTATTCTAATTCATATTAGATATGAAAAAAAGGCAATATATTTTAAAAATTTATTAATTTATTAAATTAATAGTATTATTTGACCATATGCAAAATGAGTTATATTGAATAGATATTTTGCTTTAATTGATTCTCAATCTATTGATAAAATTCTAGTAAAAGTATTTTGTATATTTTGTCTTTGTTTAATTTTCAGAATAAGTTTTATATATATATATATAGGGCCCTATAAATTATGCGAAAATTTTTAAAAATTATGCGGCAAGGATGCGGTGTCTTTTAAAAGTTATGCATGCAGGTTACGAATGACCCAGAAAACAATTGAAACTGAAAAAAAAATCTCTTAAAAAAGTTCAACTTTCTTTCCTGTTTTAATAAAAAAAAAAATTCAATGAATACAGTAAAGATTTGAATTAATTTACCTTCTTATGTATTGTACATCCATTTTCTACATCAGAGCAATTATTAAAGTTTATTAAAATGGAGAGAAGTTAGTCCAGAAGCTGCGTTTTCTTTCAAACTCTGTCTTTGTTTTGTAAAAATTTGGCCGTAGCAGGATACAGCTCTTTCACAATCTACTGAATTAGGAAGCACTGAGAGCACTAGTCTTGCTTTTTTTGTAAGTTCTGGAAATCTCTCTGAGACTACCTCTGAATTCCAGAATCTAATTAAGTCCTGGTTTGAACATTCTTTTACATATTCTTTGTAAGCATACTCGAGTTTTATATCTTGACCACTCATTCCTGGAATATTCTTGAATACATCGTCGTCTTCAATATTGAGGTTGACTATTTGTTCTGGATCGAAAACTCGAGCAGTTTTCATGAAGTTTAATGCAGGTTGACTAAACTTGGGCCCGCGTTTTTTGAATACGTCTAGTTCTGGAGAGTAGTAAGTATTCAACTTTGCAATTGTTTTGTGAAACACTTCTTGAAGAAATACGTTGCGTGAATCTTTTCGTGAGTATGATGCCTGAGAATTACATCGAAGTTTAGACCGCAGATCAAAAATCTTATTGTAAGCTTTGTGAATAGATACACCACATGTTTCGAAAAAGAGAAGAGTATCCATTAATATCTGAGCGTGTTCTGCAATGAACTGAAAGTCTTTGCAAACGTCCACCTGTCGATAAAGATTCTTGGAATTGAAAATGAAGATATTTTTCAATTGAAAAAAAACCCTTAAGGAAAAATTTATCTGGTAAATGAATACATTTTGCTGAGAAATAAAATTTATACAGATATGCTGCGATTCCGCATCTTCGCATAATTTATAGGGCCCTATATATATATATTTATATATGAAGATAAAACAAAGGAAAATTACAGACATATGAAAAAAAGGGGGGAACATATATATTCAATGATACTTGTGGCATCAGTATTTGATTAATATAATTAGCTATATATTTGCTGCAAAAAAATCTGAAATGTGTTGCTTTTTGTAATTTTTATTATTAACATATTTGTAGCAATTTATTATTAATTATTTTTTTATTTTAACTTAAAAATTTTCTCTAAAGTGCTTGAAATCTTTTGGCATTCAAACAGTAGTCTCTAATTTTTATGTATTATTTTAATGATGAAGTTTTGCTGTTCTATTTTATAGTTTTATTTCAAAAGAATAAATTCTTTTTCTTTTAATAGCGCCACATGCCAGTGCCAGCCTTGGCCTTTTTCAGAATTCTATTCCATGCTAGCTTATATCTACTAAACATATTTTGCAATAAACATTTTTTAATTTTAAAATTATTAGATTTCTTTTTTTATATCTATATATAAAAGCTTTGTTGCCAGCAGAAAAACTTCTCTTTTTGTATCCATTTATGTTTTTTATAATACATATCATTATTCTTATTGTTATGTTTTTTTTTATGTAATTTTGTATAATCTTTTTTATTCTCTATGTTTTTATTGAAATTTATTTTCTATGATTACTGATTTATTATTAAACATTCATTTATTAAAAAAAGCTTATAGGTAGACTTTAATTTACAATTTCATTTATCAAATTCAAAATCAGTTCTTACTCATTTCATTCGTGCATGAAAGTAAAACTTTCATAATATGATGATCTGATTTAGTGTGCAATATTTTATTCCAAAGATTTTGTTTCTATGGAAATAATGCTATTGAAATTTATTATTTAATGAATGTTTAGACACTTTGTGGAATTTTAAAGTTTATTTTATATAATCTATTGCTCTTTATGATTTTAATTTTGATTTTTTTCCATATATATAATTATATGTATTAATCTATTTTATTAAGACATACTTTATTTTAAAAATCATTTATAAATTTATATTCTCAATACATTCTTTTATTATCTGAAATGTTTGAAGGATCATGTATGTATTTTACTGATGATTTATGTTGAGTTTGAATGGTGTTTGACCAAATTTATTTGCAACTTAAAGTATTTTCAATCAGATTTAATTTTAGACAGATGGTCTAAGTTATATGTGTGTTAAATGTATTTTTTATCAAAACAGTTCTTCTGACTTCAGTTATTTTGTTTTTTAAATGCAAAAAGTTACAGAAGTAGCTATTTTTCATTAAGAATGACTTTATATATTGTAGACAATTTGACTTAAATCGATATCATTTGAGTAAGTTGCTATTTTTTTAAAAGAAAAAAGTTTCAACAGTGGAGTTTTGAGATGTATTATCTTTTCAGAGCAGCTAAAAGTTATCTGAAATATTTTTTTCACATCAAAAATAGCAACTTGATAAAAAATCATACAAAAAATTTCTTTTTTTTTTAACATATTTAAAAATAATACACTTAAAGAGAAAAAACTTTTTTTTTCTTAAAACTTATTTTGGTATATAACAGAAAAAGCATACAAACAATAAAAAAAAATAAAAAATTTAAGCACCTGTAGAAAGGTAAAGTAATTAATATCTATGTTTTAAAATTTGAAACAGCTGTAAAAATTGCCTCTGTATAATTTTTTATTTTTACTTTATCATTGGACAGCTAATGTGCAAAATTGTACAGTTATAGAAGTTGCTTTTATAATAATCGTAAGATTAAAGTTTGGTTTATAAATAGTACATGTGAGGAAAAAAGTCTTCACAAAATTTATTTTGCTATATAACGGAGAAGCATTAGAGTAAATGAACTTTTTTCAGAGGCCTTCTAAAAATAAATTAATATTAGTTGTAAAACTTGTTTAAAACATCTGTGTTAATTGGTCTCTGTATAATTGTTTTAAAGTTTTTATTTTTATATAGTTAACCTTCAACAATTAATGTTCACAACTGTACAGATAGAAAAGTAGCTCCTCTACAAATATTCTTTTACTTTAAGGTGTAACTTGAGCAACTTCAGCTTGCAAATCTTGAGAACATGGGCCAATGTTGAAAAGAGCAAGAATAAGCTAAAGGGTTACATAGGTTTTGATATTTTTTTTTTAAAAAAAAGCATTTGTTTTACAACATGTCAAGTGTGTTTTTTAAAAGTTTTA